TTTTTTGGTTTTTTTTTTTTTTTTTTAATTTTCAGAGATTTTGTTACATATGTTTTGTTGCCATACGTTTCAGCTGAAGTCCAAAAAGGGCTCAAGTTCTGTAATTAGAAGGGAGAGGGGGAGCACAGAGGATGTGCAGAGTACACCTGAAATAGGAGGGGGAAAGCAAGTGAGCATCCTTTTAGCAGAAGCAAATTTACAGCTCCTGTCACGTAAAGCTTCAGACAGTTACTCCTTTTCCTGAGGAGTTTCACGTACTAAAACTTAACACAAGTCCAAAGGCTTCAATAACCCTTACAGATGCTGAAACCAAAATCCTAATGATCATAACTGGTGGCATTCTTGCCCTTTGTTTTGGCTAGTTTTTATCTGTGCTGGTCACCTGAATTTCCTTCTGACTCCTGGCAATTCAGTGCACACAGAAAGGTCCGGGTTGCCCAGTTTAGACCCAAAGTTTCTATTCCTGTGTGGTATACCTGTCTGCTTTTTACTGTGGTTTGTTCTTTCATGCTTGCAGATACAGGAGGGAAATGCAAGAACTGACTGGCTTTAAAAAAAATGTCATTGCCTCTATCGGCAAATACGTCTCATAATACTTTCATGATAGACGTATCATAGCTGCTTCATAATGATATTAAAAGTGATTCAGCTGTAGCTTTAGAAGTGGAACTCCTCTCTTTTTTTATAAGCCAGGATTATCAAATAAGCAGAATGCAAGCAAAAGCATGGAGTATTTCGGAAGAAAAATCTAATGATTCCACTAGGTATTTTTAATGTGGTCCCATTTATTTATAAACAACATAAAAGGTCTTTTCTTCCTTTGAACTATAAAGAACAATAAGAAATAATTGACTTGCTTCAAGCCTATGGTTTGATGGTAGCTCATATGAATTAAAGATGATGCAGTTGTATGAGACAAGGCTGTGATAACTGCTGTTCTCCTTCATAAGGAGATTCAGACCACCATATTTCTTTTTTTTTTTTGGTTTGGTTTTTTTTTGTTTGGACATTCACCACACATTAATGTTTCTTTACATACTGCAGACCACTTCAGTGCTGCAGAGCCTATCAGTTTAACTCACCCATTTTAAAAGACTGCACAGCATGACTGAGCAATGAGAGCTAGAATATGGCTCCAGCCTAGAGTCATCACGATGAAGACTACACATGACTTGAGACTGTTATTCTCAGGTGCTCCTCACTGCAGCAGTGGCCTCAGCAGACAGATTGGCCCTTTCCAGAGTCTGGGGAGAAGCCTCCGTGCATGGTGTTGTTACAGAGAACTGGAGGAACATTGACGTTTCTGTGCAAATGTTTGCCGTGATGACAATAAAGTATCTCAAGACGTTTGGGGCTGTAGTACAGCAGAGAAATACACCTTCCTACAGAGCTGCAAAGACTGGTGGTCCAGGCAGAGGATATGTATATATGTATGTTGTCCCACTGCCAGCCTCTCTTACAGGAGAAAAACTGCTATTATCTCCCTCTTGTCTGCCACTGCAGGCTGTGTGGGATGAGAACCTTGTGAACAAAAGTAATTTCATGGTGCCATGCTTGCTGTCAGCTTTTCAGCCCCAAGTGACAGGTATCAGGGTGGTGCCAGCTTCCAGATGAAGACAGCCACCCTCCCCTCAGTCATGCTCCAGTACAGCACAGCTGAGGACATGCAGCAAGAGTGGCAGAGGGGTAGCAACAAACAGCACAGACCATAAATTTGTGTGGCTGCAAAACAGCAACTTGAGGAACTGTAGCCTCTGTCTCTCAGTAGGGATTTTAGGGTGGCTGATGATTGCACAGCTCTCAGCAATACTGCTGTTTGTAATACACAGGCAGAACCTACTTAGTGCTGTTTCTATTCCTCCCTTTACCCAGGCACCTTCTCCTGGCTGAACTCTACAGTCCTTCAGAGGTCCTGGTGGCAACCTTGTCTCTTCTCATGATTCTCTCTCCTGCCCCACAAAGGTGTATCTCCAGTTTGAGAATTGTTGCCATATATAACACAACTTTCCTCACACTGGTTTTATGCATCTGCCAAGACAAAGCATTATGGTATTGCATTGATTTAAGTGACATCAGAAGCTGAGTCTGTAGTTCAGCTTTGGTTCAAAGAATGGTGAGACAAACTTTCACACTTTCAGGCATGAAAAATCTCCCACCTTCCCTTTAGGAGTGCCCTGTATTTGGGTAAGGGTGTGGTTCTGCATTCATGGAAAGTTAAATTAATCATAATACCGAGGGCTGGAAAGCATCTTCAAAGACCTCATCGTTGATGGCACTTTCATAAGCAGGTGGTGGAGTGAGTGGCTCTAGTGGCTCAAACCTCTCTTCAATACCTTTCACTTCATGGATGTCCGAAACAAACCGCTGCAGCCTTGGGGGCAGAACCAGCTGCAACGGCATCCTGGAGCCTGTGTCTGTCTCAGAGGTGCTTATTGTGTCTGATGCCCTGAGAGCCTCCACCATAATCTCTTCTTGGGCAGATGATTCAGTAACTGCGTTGTAAGGAGGAGGCTCGTTCAGTGGTGAGGGTACGAAGCCTGGATTGGATGCAATAGTCCATATGGCTGGAACTGACATGGTCATCACCTCCTCATAGGTGGGTGCTTCATAGGCAGTGTTCACCCTGTGCACAGAGAGGAATGTCAGTTACACTGGTTATTTTACTGTTTAGTTTACAGAGAGGTGAGTAGTCTGGATAATGTCCTATAGGGACCATGCTACAATCAGTAGATGGGACTGAGACAGGATCTCTCAGGTAGTATTACTGTATGTGATATACTGTCACTGCATCAGCTCACTTGTCCAACCAACTTAATGTCTTGCTTTTTGGTCTAGAGAATGGCTCATCTGACTCTTCCCACACTCCTCAGAATAAATGAAGAAACTCACAGTGTTCAGTTCAGTATCCTAGGCTTAGCTTGATGTCCTTCATTTAAAACCTCCTACCAGTTAAAATTTATTACTAAGAATTACTAACTACGGATTATTTCTTGGAATAAAACAGAACCTTGCATTTTTAATATATTAGCTCAATGTTCATCTATTTTTAAGAAGTGGAGAAAAGTATTTGCATTTAATTTAAACAATGACTAACTATTCTATGTTAGAGTATCTGCAAAGAAAAATGTTACTTTAGAAACATCTTCCTTTTTAGGTCATATTATAAAATAAACAGATACTGATTTTCTTCTAGCATGTCCCCGAGCTAGCAAAGCCCAATATAGACTGCTTTTTATGTACTCTTTCTAAAAATAAACACCCTACAAACCTACCCTCCTACAAACTCCGTATCTGAGAATGTCAAGTCATTTATGGATGTGGATAATGATTACCTGGATTATACAGACAAGGAAGCAAAGAGGCAAATAAAGTTATACTCTTCAACTACACTAGGCAAATTGAGGTTAAATTAGGTCATGCTGAGAACCTGCAAATGTACATGAACTCAAAAAAGATGTGGGAGTATTCAGAGCCTCTCAGAATCAGGGTTTATTAGTGTCAAGTTGGATTTTTAAGACTGGAAACACACCCAGTTACAGGTTCCTTTTTAAAAGTTTACTGAGGAACAGTTGCTCTGGAGATAAGGTTTATAGAGCTAAGCCCAGCTGAGATTGAGTATTGCTTTAGCATTTTTCCTTTTTCCTTGTCTGACTCATTGTTTGGTAAGACTTAATTACTCAAATCAAAGCAAAACTGGGCCTGGATCTGTTTAACCTTGGGAATTGTTAGTGGATCTGTTCATAGGGGGAAGAAAATTTATATTGGACAAGATAGAGGACATGCATGGTATAGACATTTGCAATCTCCACCTGAAGAATGAAAGAAAACAATCTAAAAAGAACTTTTGTCTTCTGGAATGAAGTCTGTGTTTGGTGCCCTAGGGGAAGGGCAGCACAACAGTATGTAAAATGGCCATGACTGAGGAGAGAGAGTTAAAGTAAGAGAAGTAACCAGGTTGCTGCCTACCCTGCTTGGCTTTGCCTGTTTGTAGGTATCTCATTTGCATCATGTCGGTGCTGATTCCTCAGGTAACACTCGACAAACACACTGAGCAAATAGCCGATCAGGCACACTCCCCCTACCCCTAGGAAGAAATAGCCTACTGGATTGATGTTAGATGAAATGGCCAGCATGGTGACCCCAATGAGAAGAGCAGCAGTGAAAAGAAGCAACAGGGTTTGGCGGATGTTCTTCCAGTGTGTCTCTAACCACATGGTAGTATAGATGGTTGTAGCAGACAGCTGAGAACAGATGAGAAGTTAAGGGGACAGGCATCTGTGGGAGACACAATAGTTTTTTTCAACATGAAGCATGAGCATATAAACACATTATCAGTATCAGGACCAAAATAAGAACATACATACTCAAGTACATGCCATCATGACAACATGCAGCTATGCATATGTGTAATAAGCCTGGGAAATCTGTGCATAAATGCATGTCAGTAGTCTTCCCTATGTGAACACATACTGAATAATGGGAATGCTTGGACACAGAGTTACAAGACAAAATGCATAAATACACCATCAGCATTTAATTGCCAGGCTTACATAAAAAGGTTTAGCTTCTTAATAGAACTTAGACCAGTCCAGGATGCAAATTTGAGGTTACTGCAAAAGTGAAATGCCAAATAACTTTAAAGGTTAATTCTAGGGCATTTGTACCTTGCATAATGAACATTCAGATACTAGTTCAGATCAGGGAAGAAAAGTAGCCTTATTAATGGGCTTGTCTGCCCCAGTAAATTGAGGGTCTAACTTCAGTGTAGCATTATAGCAATAACATGACTAGGTTCTAGACATAGCTGGTGTATGTTTTCACAAAATATATGCGTGTGTTTGAATATTTTTCTATGTCCTTGTTGTTTTTCCATTGATGTCCTTTTTTGCACCATTCTCACACACGAGAGCCTCTCCTGTCCCCCATTCCAAAGCCCATCTCTGTGAAAGAGAAAGCAGTTGTCACTGTGTGCAGTCAATATGCAATGAATAACAGGCATCTGTGGTATTCAAGAATACCATAATTAAGGAGTCATCTTGCATGTGTTATAGAAACCTACATATATCCCGTTTTGATAAAGACCCATTTGAAGGGAAAAAAAGCATGACAATGGGCATATTTTTTATGACTATGCATTTTCAAAAAATATAGTTTTATACAGTTCCATGTTACATTGTGTGCTTTTGCGCACTAAATGCATTCCCTTGTTACAGCAAAAATACATAAATGTATCGATACAAATGCCAGGAAAAGAAACACATTCTTTTTCAGCTATACTTACCAGAGAAAGGTTTCGGTAGGTAGGAGCAGTCATGTTTTAACTTCTGACTTCATCACAAGGTAAAATGTACAAGCTCTTTTGTTTCTGCTCCTTCTCTTTCTGACCTGAGGATGGGACACCAGTAAAAACTCTCCCTTCCTTCTTTTGAGTTTTCCTGTAGGGAGATGACGAAGATTTCTTTTGAAACTAAAAGCTGGATAGTAGTGAATATGGGAAAGTACCAAATGATGGGAAGATCCTGTTGTACGAGTGTTCTGTGGGAAACTAGAATCTCCTTTTTTCAGGTTCTGAATCCAAAGCAATTTCTAGACGATCACAAACCTTCTACTCTTTTGCAGCTCGTCTAGGTCTGTCCCACAAAAGCAGGAAACTCATTAGGAAAGAGGGTGGAGTGAGCAGTGGGGGAGTGCTTACCTGTGTCGGATCTCTTTGGTCTGTTTTACTTTCGTGGGAGAAACTGCCCTGAAAATTATGTTTTCCCCACTGCGTAGCAGAGGAATCTTGATCTCTGCCTCACAAAGCAGGAAGGACTGCTGGCCCAGCCCACATCACATGGCATAAGTATGAGTTCTGTAAAATGTAAATCTATACATTTTGTAATCTTGATTGGGTGCTGTTTGTCAGGTGTTGATTTATGTCCTCTTTGATTTTACAAGCAAAAAGGAAAAAAGAAGGCAATGGGTTATTATTTCACAGAGGGCTGAGTTAAAATCCTTTTTACTCCCTGATGCATCTGGGAATAAGGAGTACTGATAAGCTACAAAACAGTTACTGATTTACTTCATGAAATCTTTAATCATCTGAACCTTTAGTGTGTGTCTGAAAATGGAATGGAATGGAATGGAATGGAATGGAATAGAATAGAATAGAATAGAATAGAATAGAATAGAATAGAATAGAATAGAATAGAATAGAATAGAATAGAATAGAATAGAATAGAGAATAGAATAGAATAATTTCATTTGGAAGGGACCTACAACTATCATCTAGTCCAACTGTTTGACCACTTCAGGGCTGACCAAGTTAAAGCATGTTATTAAGGGCATTGTTCAAAATGCCTCTTAAACACTGACAGGCTTGGGGCATTGGCCACCTTTCCAGGAAGACTGTTCCAGTGTCTGACCACCCTCTTGGTAAAGAAATGCTGCCTAATGTTCAGTCTAAACCACACCTGGCACAGCTTTGAACCATTCCCACACATCCTATCACCAAGGAGAAGAGATCAGCACTTCCCTGTCCACATCCCCTCCTCAGGAAGCTTCAGAGAGCAAATGAGGTTGCCCCTCAGCCTTCTTTTTTCCAAACTAGATGAGCCCAAAGTCCTTGGGCACTCCTCATAGGACATGCCTTCCAGCCCTTCCACCAGCTTTGTTGCCTTCCTCTGGATGCATTCAAGGACCTTCACATCCTTCTTAAATTGTGGGGCCCAGACCTGCACCCAGCACTCAAGGTGAGGCCACACCAACCCTGCATACAACAGGATAGTTACCTCTTTTGACCAGCTGGTCATGCTGTGTTAGATGCACCCCAGGATGTGGTTTACCCTCCTGGCTGCCAGGGCACACTGCTGACTCTCACTGAGCCTGCTGCTGACCAGCACTCCCAGATCCCTTTCTGCAGGGCTTCTCTCAAACCCCTCCTCTCACAGTTTATACTTGTGACTGGCGTTACTCCATTGTAGGTGCAGAATCCAATATTTCGACTTGTTAAATTTCATGCCATTGATGATTTCCCAATGTTCTAATCTATCTAGATACCTCTGCAAGGCCTCTTGTCCCTCAGGAGAGTCAACAGCACCTCCCAGTTTGGTATCATCAGCAAAATTCTAATGGTGTATTCAATTCCTGCATCCAGATCATTGGTAAAGATACTGAACAGAACTGGCCCTAGAATTGAGCCCTGAGGAACAGCGCTGATGACTGGTCGCCAGCCAGATGTAGCCCCATTCACCACAACCCTTTGAGCACTGCTCTCCAGCCAGTTCTTCACCCGGCATAATGTGAACCTGCTTATCTCACAATTGAACAGCTTGTCCAGAAGGATGCTGGGACAGCATCAATAACTTTACTCACATCTAGAAAATCTACATCTGCCGCCTTCATCCCTTCATCCACTAGGCAGGTGACCTTATCATAAAAGGATATCAAATTAGTCAGACAGGACTTTCCCTTGGTGAACCTCTGCTGACTGTGCCTGATGATTGCATTGTTCTTTAAATGTCTTTCAGTAGTACCCAGTATAATTTTCTCCATAATTTTTCCAGGAACAGAGGTTGGACTAACGGACCTGTAGTTCCCTGGGTCTTCCTTCACTCTCTTTTTGTAGATTGGAATAACACTGGCTAACTTCCTCAGACTCCCAAGATCTTTGGTAGGTGACTGAGAGGGGTCCTCTCATAAAATCCACTAGCTCCTTCAGTATTCTGATATGAATCCCATCAGGCCCCATGGACTTGTGAACATTCAGCTGATACAGCTGGTCCCTTACAATTTTAGTGTTTACAAATGGAAAGCCACTGTTCCCACACTTGTGGTTCTCCAAGGCAGGGGACTGGGCAGCCAAGATCTGTTGGTATTATTAAAGACTAAGGCAAAAATGCCTCTGCTTTTGCTTGACCCTTATTAGTCAGATGACCATCTTCAACAAGTATCAGTCTAAAGTTTTCTTTAGACCTCCTCTTGCTATGAATGTATGGTTTCAATTCTAATTGAGCTTTGGCCTTTCATGTCTTCATTCCTGCATATACAAACCACAGCTCTGTCATCTTCCTGCAAAGCCTGACCTCGCTTCCAGAGATCATACAATTTCTTTTTGCTCTTAAGCTCCATGAGGAGATTCCTGTTCAGACAAGATGGTCTTCTGCCCCACTTTCTTGAGACAGTGGAATTGTCTGCTCCCATGCTTCTAAAAGGTGGTACTTAAAGACTGACTGGCATTCATGGACTCCTAAGCCCTTGAAAGCAGATTCACAGGGTACTCTGCTAAATAGCTCCCTGAATAGCTTGAAGTTTTCTCTCCTGAAGCCCAGGGTAGCAACTCTGCTGTCCTTCTTTCTTATTACACTGAAAACTTTAAACTCAATAATTTCATGATCACTGTTGCCAAGATAGCCACCTACCATTGCACCCCACACAGGTCCTTTGCTATTTACAAACAGCAAGTGTAGGAGGGCATCTTTCTTGGTTGTTTCACCAAGTGTCTGTGACAAGAAGTTATCTCCTACAAACTTCAAGAATTTCCAAGACCTGCTTGTCTCAGCAGTATGATATTCCCATTTGATGTCTTGGAAGTTGACATCTCCCATTGCGATCTTCTGTAAGGACAAGGGCTACTGATGGTGAAATTTCTCTTAATCGCCTATCAATAACTCATCAGTGTTTACATCATTAGAAGTTTTCAAATATTATACTATGAATTACATCCAGTAGGTGTCTGCAGCTCAAGTTTTTCTGTAATAGAAAGATGTCCTACTGCTAAATGTTTATTAATAAGTATTGAAGGTGGAAGATGGGACTGAGAAGCATGAGCTTTAACAAAGATAAATGTAAAGTCATGCACAGACAGAATAATCCTAAACAGCAGTACAGGCTGGGGTCTGACTGACTGAAACAGACCTGGTGGTCATGATGAATGGCAAGTTCAACAGGAGTCAGCAGGGTGCCCTTGAAGCAATGAAGGCAAACTGTGTCCTGGGTTGCATCAGGAAGATTGTAGTCAACAGGTCAAGGGGTGTGATTATTCTACTCTACTCAGCACTTGTTAGGACACACATGGAATATTGCGTACAGTTTTGGTCCTCCCAGTTCAAGAGAGAAATTGAAAAATGGGATATGGTCTGGGGAGTTGCCACTAAGGTGATTTAATGGTTGGAGAACTTTGACAGCTTCAGGAGCTGGGTTTGTACTGCCTAGAAAAGAAAAGGCTTGGGCAGGTGTTGTCTGTTCACAGTTTTCCAGTGT